ATATATATATATATATATATATATATATAAAATACGTAAAATGTAATAATTGAAAATTTATAAACGTACTTTGTTATAATCATCTATCAACAGCAAAGATTGCTCATTTTTATTGAGTATTGTTACTGTTGTTTTTCCTGGCCCTTCATAAGAATGTCCCTTTACATTTTGCGAAAGATGTAAATTTCTATGAAAAACAAAACAATAAGAATATATTATTATAGTTATAATAACATAATAGTATATATTTCATGTTTGAGATATTTATCTCGTGTAAAATAAAATATTATATATATATATATTAAATTTGCTATTTTAATTTCTATTACTTTTTTTAATAATTCTATTACCAACCTTATATTATGAAACACTTTTGAATTAAAAAGTTTTTTAAATGCAAACCTCATTTCATGCAATAGAAAAGAAAATAATTTCTTGAATAATAAATATTAGAATAATCTTTGGAGGTTAAGTAGAGAATCAAGATTTCTCTCTCTTGACCGCTTAAAATATACATACAATTCTGTATACTAGTAGAATCAATGTTACCACACTTAAAACAACATAAACACGTTTATTCTAGGAACTTTATAGTAAATGATTATTTGACATTATTCATATTATTTAAAAGAAGTAATTTTTAAATACTATAAATAAATAAAAAATAATTTTTTCTATTATTTATAGTTTTTTGTTGTAAAACAAATAACGCATTGAATAAAATATTGCTGCCATCTATACTTAAAAATATACACTTCTCACATTTAAAATACTTTGAAGAAAAACTAATTAATTAAAAGGCATAATATTTAATTTAATATTAAATAAAATAAAAATATAAACTATGAATAACTAAATTATAAAATAAAATGGTTCTGCGTTATAATAATTTTGTTAAAATTTTGTAAGTAAAATCAACCAATGAGAGAGTTAAGCATCGAAGAAACGATATTTCCGGTTTTATGTAATGCATTTAGCTCGTTCCATTCTCAATTCTCATCCATTTCGTTCGAAGCTGGCGACTAAGCAAGATGATCTTCATTGGTAAGAATATTTTCGATACTTATTACACGTTTTTAAAATCTATCTTCATCCACGTATATTATTTAATGCTTTAGTTATAAAATAGTATATTATTATAAAATAGCTTTTTTACATTCAATTTAATAATATATTTTTGATCCATCTAAACATCTTTAAGTATATATTTCTGCACGAAACCTTTCATGATGATGAAGACATTTTTAGTCTCGTTCGTATGATTACTTCTTGATTATGATCTTCATATGTTGCTGATTTTTTAATCGAATATTAATATTATTGCATAAGAATGACAAAATTTCTTATTTTGCGAATTAGTTTCTTTTTTTATATCGTTCTAGCAATCGCTTATATATGCTGAACGTTTACTTCGCACCTTTATAATAATGGCGATAAAATAATGCTTCAGCTTGAGTGGCTAGCACGCCAATACTGGGAAAATGTTTACTGCAAAATTTGTTCTTAACCACACGTTAAAATAGTAGTGAGTATTAGTTTCCTTTTTATTATTGTTTTTTTCTTTGTTTTTTCTTTTTTTACAAATTATTTATCTTCTAACTTCATTTTTTTCATTTAACTACATTGTTCCAATTGCGTTTAATTATATTTTTTAATAATATACACATATATTTATTTGCCTAGAAAATTCATTCATTAATTATATATATATATATATATATATATGTTGTACGGAATTAATAGTATAATAAAAAATGATGAAAAAGATACTGCCCCAGTCTGAGTACTATGAATGAGTAGTTTTTTCTGATTATATGAAAAACAAAATATATTTGTCCTTTTTCGTTTTTTGGCTATAGCTACTACTTACAAATTTATACGTACATTTTTATTTATAGGCGAATATCTTCGATAATTCATTTCTGCACGAATATGTTAGCGAACGGTGGAACTTTTACAGACTACGACAGCAGGAAAACCATTAGGTAAATATTATATGATATTTCTTATTTTATTTTATACAAGTATTTGTTTTTTCTTTTATATGATGATTTATAAAACGTCCCAGTCAAACGGATTATTAATGAAGAATGTTAGATCTGAATTTTATACAAATAAAATGTTTTAGGAATCGTAAACTTTGGTCATATTTTAATTATAAATATATATACATATATTTTGTTGTTTACAGTAAATGACTAGAAAATTGGGGTTCAATGATTGAATAAATTTTGTTTTATACTACAACGTTTTTTGAATTACAATAAAAAATATCGATGATTCTACTACACTGATATATGAAAATTATGGAAGTACCAAAAAAAAAAAAAAACATGAAAGAAAGAATCTAAAACAGTTCATCATGTCCTAATTCAAGACAAAAAAAGTTCAAAAAAGAACTATTTAACCCTTAAGGAACAATTTGAAAAAAAAAAAAAAAACAAAGAAAATCGTTTTTGACCCAACGTAATACAAAGTCGCTCGAGAGTTAACTCTCGAGCGTGCTACTTAAGATGTTTAAACATGATTAATACCAAACAGAGAAAAGATATTAGATAAAAATCGTCAAGAAAGAAGAGAAATTATGGCTAACGTTTTCTGTTACGTCCACATTGATCTGCATTCATCGAATTTAACCGGGATCCCAGCAGACATCTTAATTTTATGAGGTAAAGAACTAAACTTAAATCTTGAATAAAATGATGACTTTGATAAATTAAAAATACGTTGAAGTTAACACATTGCAAATTAAACACATTACACAAGTAAATATAGTTACGTTGAGATGGTACACGTTCCATTAAAACTTCAACTGTAAAACACCGGAACTGCCCCAATACCAACATGTTTATGTTAAATGTGCTTTCTTTAACGTATTTCTACAAATTTTATATATTAAATGATGATCAATTAAGTTATCCCTGTCTTACATTAGTAAATGGTGATAAATAGTGTATTCTGATATTAGAATTTACTTTACTAATTTAAATATTTAAATATTTTTGTGAAATTTAATTAAAAGAAACTTTCTTTTCAGATTAAAGAAAAAGATTTTCTATCCTTGCGTTGTGGGTTGCAACTAAATTTACAATAATAAGTAAGTAAAATTATAATTATATGTATTGATTTTTGCATCATTTTACCATGATGATTTAGAAGCAAGCATATGTCTGATATATTTTTATGAAGTCAATTATTCTCTGATAAATTAAAAACTTATATGCATATATATGATTTACAATTGAACATAATTGTAAATTTGTAACTTTGGTTTTATTGCAGATTATTTGAGATTAAAATCAATGAAAGATTTCACGATAAAATTGATTATTCTGAAGGTTAGTATTTGAATATGAATATATGAAAAGGATTATTTCGTTTTTGTTTTTTATAAAGTTAATAAATAACTATGATGTTAAGTAACTATATTTATACGCTATAATGAAAAATCCCATGACTTACAGCTTGCCCTCACTGAGTTATTTTCAAAAATTACTAAAACATATTTTACATTTTTAGGAAAAACTGTCATATTAATATTTGCTTCTTGTTTTAGTAAACAATGTTCTCAAGATTCAAAAAATTATACAAATTCATTGGAAAGTCGTGCAAAAATATACATTAATCTTGTAAGTAATTAACGATTGAAAATTATATAATTTATTAAAATATTTTATATAAGCATGATGCTTAACAATATACGCTATGATTCATTATGATAGAAATTATTATACTGAAATGAAAAATTATATATAAGATTAATTATTTATATCTGTTAGATTACTAATATTTTTGTTTTCTTTTTTTCATTTAATTAAGCTGTCATCTCAATTTTGTACGAGTAACTAAATAATATACAGAAAGCCAAAGCAGTATACAAAAAGTCTGTGTATGTATGTGTGTGATGTTGTATGCACAAAAAGAAAGTACATGGAATTGTAAATCAATTTTAATGATCTTAGAAGAAGAAAAGTATTAAATTTTGGTAAAAAAAAAAAAAAATACTATTTTTGATGAAGTGAATTGAACATGAGAAAGATATTATTATTACATACAGGATAAATGTTTATCGTAATATGTTAAAAAAAAATATATAAGGAATTTACCCTAAATTGGAAAAACAAACTAAATCAGCAAGGATGCTCAATAACCTACGGTTATTATACTACGATTACTTTCAAATTTAAAACAAATTATAAAGTGATTATGGATTATTATTGATTCATTATAATTGTAAAAATTTAATGTAATAATTTTATGTGAATGCTCATAATATAATAACTTTCATTGAAAGAATAATGCAGATCTATAAAAAAACTTTTTGCATTTTAATCAATCATTGCTATTATTATTCACTATACCACCTTTTTTTGCATTCAATTATATATATATATAATTTCTAATAAAAACTTTCTCCTGTGTTGTTGTACATGTTTGCGTGTGTATTTTACATTCAAGTAAGATAATTGTAAAATTAAATAATTTATCACGTAGTAAAATAGACGTTGAACGAGGAAAATAAAAAAAAAAGTACAAAAAATTTTCATCGTCAAACAGTAACTTTTTTATTCTTCGCGTAAATGTAGTAAATTTAATAAAATGATTTTTCATTCTACAAAATGTCTGCAAAATTCCAAGTACAACAACCGATCAAATAATTTTTCTGAAAAAATGTACGCACGATTTGAAAAATGTTTGTGAACAAAAATAAAGAAATAAAAAACTCGTTTAGAAAGTTTCTCGTGCTGTTGTAGCTTCTATGGAATTGTATATCCGTTAAATTTTTATATTTTGATTATTTTAACGAATTTTGTTTTGAAATTTTTAGTTTTAAAGATCGCAAATTATAAGAACATGCATACAAAAAAATTCAATTTTTTTGATCAGATCAACTGGAATATCCCTTTAAAAATTGGGATATTCTTTTTATAATTAGATCATATTTACAATAAAATAAATGAAATATATATGAAAATATTTTATATACTTAAATTAAAATAATCTCGTGGGAGGCTGTTATTAACTACAACACTTATTTTCAACAAATAACATTATATATATATATATATAGATATATATATAAATAAGCACTATTGGACATAATTAAATGACTAAATTCCTTGAAAAATCTAAATAACAGAGATTAAATAGTTTCTTTTTTTCTTTCCTTTTTTATGTCTTTTTTTTTTTTTTATGTTTGCTAACAGAAACTTACATAAAATTAATATATATTTATAATAAAAAAGAAAACAAAAGTAAAATATATGTAATAATGCCACGAGTTGTATATGTTAATTTCGTTACACAATGTAGATCAACTTTTATTATACAGTTGTAATAGAATTCTTTTCCCATTTTTCTTTTTCATACCTTCTTTTTTTTCTTACTAATCACAAATATTTGATTACTAATTTTACAATTAAAAATTATTTATATATATGCACAAACTAATTGTTTCGTGCACAACATTTTTTATAAAACAGTGGTATAACTTTCATATTATGGATTCAGAATCCAAATTAATATTAACAAATTAATATTAATTTGTACAAAAGATTAAACAATAATTTTCCTAACTTTTATTTTTTGGGAAACTGAATTATAAAATACAGTTTCTTTCCCACTGCATAGATTTGATATTTCAAATATATGTGCAAAAACACACACGAGGCAAAACCATCTAATTCTATTTATACTTATAATTATAATAACTCAATTTTTTCTTTTCATCTAAGAAGACATACAAAAAATTTCGCATATATGCTGTGAAAATTTAATAAATGGATACAATTAAAGGATGGCCAAAATAAATGCTGCTTTTTATAACTATTACGTTAAGTTATGGCAAAATTAAAACTAAAAATAGTGTCATGTATGCTATAAGAATATGAAACATGATTTTTTTTTTTAAGTTCCAAATGCAATAATTAACAATAATTAACGTTATACAATGATCGTAGTAATAATGACGTTACTGTAATCAGTTAGAACTTTTACCTTAATTTTTCATTCATAATAAAATTTATGTATATTATACGTCGTCGTGATTATAATTATTTGAATTATAATTAATATCAGATGTATCATACAGAGCATTCTGAAGATTAGTATATTCTATTGCAAGTATCAGCTACCATAGATCGAGAGTAAGTTTTGAACATTGATAATTAATTATATATAAACTTAAAATTCATTTGTATATAAATAAATTAATAACATTGAGAATTTATATTACTTTGAATAATTATCTGTATTAATAATGTTATAAAACTAAAAGATAAATATATAATAACAATGAAATTTATCTTAATTTAAATACGATAGTAATTAATAATAAATTTGATAACATTCTGAGACTATTTATAGGCACCAATTTTCAAAATACCCTGTATAGGTATGTAATATACTTATTGATGAGAGAGAGAGAGAGAGAGAGAGAGAGAGGCCAAATGAATAGAGTACCATATTTCGCCAATGTGTGAATATAGTTCTCAGATTTACAAAATCCTTTTTATACAATAATGATTATTCAGATTCAAGGAATAATATATAGCTCAAGGATGTAATTTGTATAATATAGAAGGTTTGTATAAAATAGAACACTGTAATATTATTCAGATGCCCTTTCAATAATGTTGACCACTTAATATTTGATTATTATATTGTCCATTTATTAACATTTCTATTTCCCAGTTTAATTTTTCACTTTTCAGCTTTTTCTCTACCATCCTTTTTTTCTTTTCCAATAAAATTTTTATGTTGATCCTGCCAAACAGACAGGACTAGTATATTATATATTTCAATAGTTTTCAACTTTTAATCAATAGTCTGCACTTACTTCATTTACATTTCTTAATTTTATATATATATATATATATGNATATATATATATATATATATATATATATATATATATATGTATTAAAAATATTTACAACTTTATTCGCAGCTTCGTCATTTTCGTTTACTAAAACTTTCCCTACTTCAGAGCAAGGAAAAATTCTTTTGAAAAGTATTTATCCATTTGCACTGTGTTTTTAGATGTACTTGACTCTTTTTCTTTTTTTTCTTTTTTTTTTTTTTTCATATAGTGTCCACTACTTATTGATTTCATTTACAACTGAATTATTTCCACAATTTAATTATTTTCTGGATTTGTTTCCTTCTCTCCTTCACCGTCTCCTTCCTCACGTGTCATACCTTCCATAGGAGCTGGAGTTTCTTCTATATTTTTAACATTAGTTGATAATTGATCTGTGGTCGTTATCACCGATGGAGGTCCATTTTGTGCGGCACCTTGTGGAAATCCTGTTTCCGCTGACACTAAATGAGACGGCATATGCGGAGACGCAGTTTGAGATTTTCTACTTCTTTCACCTTTACGCCATAAAGTGATTTCCTATCGGATCAAAATCAAAAATAAAACAAAGTTTCAATAATCAATATTGAGTGAGTATTATATAGAATTACAAAAATAAGTATACACGTGTATCAACTTACTTGCTGTTTAAAATATCTACGATCTTCTTCATCCATTAGAACTAAATTGAGAAAGTATCTAACGCTGAACTTTTTATTAATATCACGCATCGTAGGAGCTAAATCATAACCCGCTAGAAATACTCTGATAGGTATGGATTCTCCTCGTACTGGAGCACCGTCCATAATTTCATATTTAGCTATCGTTTCATTTTCTGTAAATGTATGCGGACCTGCAAATATATATTCTAATATATAACTTTAGTAATAAAACCCATGACATACTAATAATTCTATATAAAAAATAAAATCATTTTCCTTTTCATTTTATGGCATGCTTATAAATTATACAAAATCATGAATAATGATCTATTCGCTATACGGGGCAAGATAATTTATTAATATGGTTAAATATATCAGAACATAACGAGGACTAGAAAAATGTACTAATGAGAAATAGCTGATATTACTATAATGATATTAAAAACTCAAATTATCAATATGAAGTAAAATTGTTTCGAAACATTTTTGTATGTTTCGAAATATGTTTTTTATTATTATTATTGTATATATATATATGTATATATATTGTACCATATTAATTAAATCGAAATCCCCAGTAAAATATCTTAGTAAATAGAGCTGCTAGAACATTCTATACCAGAACCAGTTGTTTCCCGTTTAATAATGGCAATTTCCATATGTTTAATTTTAATTCTGACCAATAGAAAGTATATTTTACCCACGATAACATCTTTTAAGTGATATCTAGAAAGAAAATTAATAAAAGATCACGTATTCTTCTAATTATTTTATATATTATATATAGTTGAAATTGTTCATTTTCTTACTTGCTTTTGTTGTATTCAAATTCAATATGCAGGCATTCTTCTATTCCGACTTCCATTTTAATAGGATTGTTCATATCGGGATAGGAACTAAGAGTATGTACAACTAGATCAAGTTCTTTAACAATGTCACTAAGCCTTCGAACAATTGTCACTCTGAGAAAGTATCTAAGCCGCACATTAGAACCGGTATAACTTTCATAAGGCTTCTCAACATTAGCAAATTCAAACGTATATACAGTATTATGGGTTAATTCACCAGGCCTGGTTAACTCTTTTACCAGATTAATAAACTCATGATGATTACCTCTGTCATAATATAATTCAATCTGCCCAATGAATTCCACTTTAACACCTTGATGTTCTAGCTTACCAGCTTTTCTCAAACTAATGGTAATCTACAAACAATGAGAAAATATAATCTTATTACATATGTAACGCGCGGTAGAATATACATTATCTAAAATTAAATTACTTGTGTAACATGATGTTAATACACGTTTGAATAATACTGATCATGTTTTTTTTTTTCTTTTTTTTTTTAATAACAAAAAATTATACACCCAAGACTTTACTCATACATTTATTCATATAAGATAACAATATCAAAAATATATTTTTAATTAAATGTGATATTAGTAATATACAGTATTTAATATACATAATATATTAAGACAATTAACATCAATGATCAATGATTGTTTTATAATCGAATATAAGTAGCACATTCGAATAAAAAAATATTGTCAAGTATTGATAGTCAATTATTACGCTTTGACATTAAGGGGACATATACCTTCAAAGTATTTTTCAAGTTATACACACATACACATGTACGTACATACACACACCACATTTGAATACTCGAATATCCTATGATAATAGGAATAATATAGCTGATAATTCTATCAAATGTAAACTCCTACCTTTCCAGATATTGCCTCCCCGTCATAATAAAGTAAATGATGTTCTTTCTTGCCATCCTCAGATTTGATATCTGCTGTCTTTCTGGTTTCTGCACCATCCAAAGTAATGTCTATGTCAGCAGATTGACCGAATCCAAAGAAACTCTATAAAAAAAAAAAAGATTATACAAATATACATATATATATATATATATATATATATAGGTCATATGAATATTTTTAATAAATTGAATACAATTTGATATCAAATAGACGCTTAGAAAAAGCAAAAAAAAAAAAGACGTACCATTTTTTTTTTGTTTAAAAAGGGGTGTACACTTATATAGAGATTAACACGTTACACAACTATTGTGTATTCACACAGATTAAACAAAGTTTACAAGGTCAATGGAAAATCCTGCAGAGCAACATTTTTTCTTCCTTAATGTAGATTATGAAAAAAGTGTGGTTATTTTTTTACTTTCTCTTAAAAGTCCAGTAGTAGCACCAGTAGCCAATATGGCTGCCAGTTAGCCCCCACTCACACCATTAAATATCAAACCACGGATACCTATTGTTAGAATCGCGAATCGTGTATTAAATGTATTACTTTATTACACTAAAAGAGATTACACCTATGTAACAAAATGTACGATATTATTGTTTGAAAGAGAATTTAAAAAAAAAAATCCCTAGAATTAGATATATTATTTGTCCAGAACACATATTTCAATGATTAAATGTTGGTAAGAAATTCAGTTTACACTTAACCTCATTATCACGGTAAGACGACCAATAAACCTTTAGACGAAGAAGGTTATGTTTTTTCATTCATTACTTGTTGTATGTAATCATTTTTATAAAAAGTGAATGTGTAATAGTGAAGGGTGAAAATTTAATTGATATTTTTTATAAAAGGTAATTCGAGAAAGTGTTTTTCTTTTGGTTATTTATATTAAATTTGTATTGTAATTGAAACTAACTTAGATAAACACAACTATAATGGTGTTATGTTTGAAAGAAAATATAAAATTGTGTAATATACTGTAAGATATATTGTTATATTTTTGTTATTTTAGAATAGATCATTTCATCGTCAAAATAATAAAATGTTTAATCAAACTGGGACAATACGATCAGGAGCAACTACGTTGGCTAATCCTATGCAAGATTTCGAGGTTGTATCACCGCCAGACGATTCTATTTCTAGTTTGAAGTTCAGTCCTGCCGCATTGCAACAGAATTTTCTAGTTGCTGGTTCTTGGGATTGCAATGTTCGATGTTGGGAGGTTGAACAATCCGGTAAAACGGTTCCCAAGTCGATACAATCTATGGCTGCACCCATACTAGATGTTTGTTGGAGCGATGTAAATATTACTTTTTTTTAATAAATGTATTTTACCGGTGTTAACTAATTAGTATATGAAGAGGGAGCAATATTACCTTTTTCTTTTTGTTTTTTTTGTTTTTCATAAATTAGGACGGAACCAAGGTATTTATGGCTTCGTGTGATAAAACTGCTAAATGTTGGGATTTAGCTTCAAATCAAAGCATTCCTGTAGCAGCTCATGATGCTCCGATCAGAACTTGTCATTGGATTAAAGGAACTACGTACTCTTGCTTGATGACCGGTTCTTGGGATAAAACATTAAAAGTTGTTGATTGTTTTTCAATATTTTATATTATATATTAAATTTATATTATTATTTATTTATTTATTTATTAATTGTATATTTTTAGTTTTGGGATCTAAGAAACTCAAAACCAGCAATGACACTTAATTTACCTGAAAGATGTTATTGCGCTGCTGTAGTACGTATTTACATATTTTCTTTTTTTTCTTTCTCTTTTTTTCAATTATTCAAAGCGTACTTGCTTTAACTGTCTATTACTTTTAATAATTAACATTATTTACAGGATTATCCTATGGCTGTAGTAGGAACAGCAGGTCGTGGCTTAATTGTTTACCAATTAGAGGGAAGTCCGCGTGAATTTAAGCCTGTTGAATTAAGCTTAAAATATCAATATCGCTGTGTAGCCATTTTTAGAGATAAAAAGAAAATACCTACCGGATTTGCTATTGGAAGCACAGAAGGACGCGTTGCCATACATCATTTGAATCAAACAAGTAAAGACAATTTTACTTTCAAATGTCACAGGATAAATGCGTCTCCAAATGGTTACCAGGATATTTATGCAGTTAGTACAGTGATATGAAATAAATAAAGGATTTTTTTAAAACTAGACATCATCATTCTTGTTATCGTTATAGGTGAATGATATAGCTTTTCATCCTGTTCATGGTACGGTAGCTACCGTTGGTGCAGATGGTACTTTCGGTTTCTGGGATAAAGATGCTAGAACTAAGTTAAAGTCATCAGAACCAATGGAACAACCAATTGTTCGTTGTTGTTTTAATCATAATGGACAAATATTTGCTTACGCAGTTTCTTATGACTGGTCAAAGGTATGATTTTTTCTTTCTGCGCCAAGAAATTTTGCTTTTTATATTTTACTTAGATAACATTTATAAATTATATTTTTATTTTATTATTATATTTTTTGCATTACAGGGTCACGAATATTACAATCCAGCAAAAAAGAATCGTATATTGCTTAGGCCATGTTATGAGGAATTAAAAGCTAAAGGAACGCCATAATTTTGATTAAAATTTTATTAGAAATTTTAATATATGTAATTTTAATATTAATATCTAATAATTAATTAAATTGATGAATATAACTGTTACAGTTTTGGATATAAAGTACCAATAAGAGTGATTTAATTAAATATAAATATCCATATTTCTTTAATTGTTAAATTTATTTTTAATTATACTAATATCATGAATTGATTAAAAAGTGTGCAAAAAGGTTCTAAGATCTCCTGAACATAGACGTTGACTGTTCATAGATATCTCTATAACCATACAACAAACAAACACACTACCCTCCTAAGCTAGGTTATTTCTGAGAAAGTTCGTAGGGAAGGAGTTAATAACTGATTCATACAACAGGGGAGGTAAACTGGAAGTGTCTACTCATTACTATAAAGAATGATAAAAAGAATCCAAGAATACTGCAACAATGAAAGATTTTTGAATGCATTGTTTTTATTATACTTACATTTGGAAGAAACCATATACCGTAATATTCTATCAGAAGATTAGCAGAAGGAATGCATCCTAGTTATCACGAATTAAGAAAACAAAAGGCAAATACATCCTATTAGAAAACTCTATTCTTGTACAAAATCTTTTACCAGGTTTTCTAAACAATATAGGAAGAAATTATTCTTTATCGACTGTCAAGAAAAATTTATGTATTTATATCAATTAATATCTTCTTTGCAAAGAATTCCATGTGAATTATTATGCGAATGGAATGCAGATATTCTAACTAAAAATAATCTTGACAATAATATGTTTACATGTTACAAATACAATAATTTTGTTAGAAGAGGAGATAAATATTATAATACTATTAAAATAAACTTACTTTTCTCATATAAAAATTGATTGGGAGAGTTGCATTTATTTTTAAACAATTAATAAAAACATATAGGGTGTGAGATATGTATATTTTATTACCGACTGGTAAAATGTAAACCGCCATCTATCGGTACTAAATATTACTTCATTATACCGACTAGTAAGTTTAGGCTGCCATCTAGCGGAAGTAAAAGTTACTATGTCTTACCGACTAGTAGAATATGTTTCGCCATCTAGACAAAAGATAAAAAATCACTAGGATAAAATCAAGATGGCTACCTGTCAATGTACTTTGAATACCGTAAATACAGGCTATGTGCAGTGTAAAATATTTAATTAAAAAAATCCTTAGAGTGATGCAATAATCAAGTGAATAATATTTTTTATTTATAGTAATTCGTTTCGTATTCTTTCTTTAGTGATCGTCAATTCTGGATACAAACAGTAAACTGGATGAAATGCTGTGGGGAAGTGTTATGTTATAACCTAAGAAAAATGATTTTCTTAATTAAATCCGAGAATATAGATGAATTCAGGATGTACTCTTAATCAAATTATTTTAACAAATACTAGTAAGTAAAGTATATATTTTTTTATACAAAATTCTTCTAATTATTAAAATATATGGATTATTTTGTCTTTTAACTTTATGCATTATCTAAACATTTTCTCTCTTCAAACTTATTTTGATATACATATAAAAACTACTTTTAAAAATATTTTTAGATCAGATCAGCATGCAGATCTATATTTTAAATTCCAATCCAAGAACGTTATACTCAAAAGAAGAGGAGTCCATTACACCATTGGATCAATGGATATATATTTCATTTTCTTACGGCTAACGATTAGAAGATTTGCATTGATTATGTAATCCGAAAAAGAGTTTTATTCTATAATATTATGTAAATAGAACGCAGCTGCAGTAACAAAGAATAATCAAGAGAAGAATCTGTTAAAAGGTAAGCATTGCAATCTTGTATTAGTAAAAAACAAACCTATATTAAATTGATTGATAAGCTGATTTATTCCACAAAGGAAGGAAATAATTTGACTAGAAGTGTCTACTCATTATTATCAAGATTGTGATAAGAAGAATACAACAATACTGCAACTATGAAAGATTGTTTAATGCACTTTTCTTCATCATACTTGCACTGCGAGAAAACCATATGTAGTAATATTTTATCAAAAGAATACCAGAACACATGTATCTCTTAGTTATCACAAAATAAGAAAACAAGTGGCAAATACATTATATTAAGAAATTCTATTCATGTCAAAATCTTTTATCAAGTTTTGTACACGGTAATAGAAGATATTATTTTTTTATTAGCTGACAAGAAAAATTGATGTATTTGTTAATAAATATCTTATTTGCAAGGAATTTCATGTGAATTATTATGGGAATAGAATGCAGCTGCTCTGATTAAAAATAATCTAGACAATAATATATGTTAAGAGGTAAACATAATAATTTAGTTTAAAAAAGAAGTAAATATTATAATACTATTAGAATACATTTATTTGTATCATATAGTGTAAATGATTAGGATTTTATTAATTTTTAATCAATTAATAAAAACGGATATTAGGAAAAAAGTATTTTATTACCGACTGGTAAAATGTGTATCGCCATCTCTCGGTACTAGATATAACTTCAATTTACCGACTAGTAAAATGATGCTGCCATCTAGCGGAAGTAAATATTACTATGTCATATCGACTAGTAGAATATGTTTCGCCATCTAGACTAAAGATAAAACATCACTAGGATAAAATCAAGATGGCTACCTGTCAATGTACTTTGAATACCGTAAATACAGGCTATGTGCAGTGTAAAGTATTTAATTAAAAAAATCCTTAGAGTGATGCAATAATCAAGCGAGGAATATTTTTTATTTATAATAATTCGTTTCAAATTCTTTCTTT